GGTCCCTGATGCCTTGCCAAGCTTGTTCCAAGTAGGTGCTTTAGACCACTGAGCCATCTCTCCAGCCCCCTCAGAAAAATTTTAATCTTCAAACTTTTTTCATTCTGCTTCCTCCATCCTTTCCTCTGAGATAATATTTAGACATATATTATGTTTCTTGGTATTATCGCTTTGTGTCCCACAGCTTATTGAGTCTTGTTTTGGGTTTTTTTTCTATCTGTATTTGATGTTATGTGTTTTAAAATCATTTCTTTAAGTTCAGCAGTTTTTTTCTTCTGTGTATAATCTGCTGTCTTATTTAGTGTTTTTTCATTTTAGAAACTGTAGTTTTCATCAGTGTAAGTGTTTGGATCTTGAGGCTCTCTTATCCTCATGATTTCTTCTGTTTCTTAAATGTGTGTATAGTGTTTACATATACAGCTATTTTTATCATCCTTGTGTTATCACCCTATGATGTGTCCATTTCAACATCTTTACTGTTAACTTCCTTCTTCTTTCTTTTTGGGGGTGGTGCGGGGATTGAACTCAGGACCCTGCACTGGCCAGGCAGGCGCTTACTCCACTGAGCCGTCTCCCGGCCCCGACTTTCCTTCCTTGTGTGCTTTCATATCTCTGATAATTTTTATTGACTATCAGACATTATAGTTTACGTAACTGTAGACTGCACATTTTCCCTTGTTCTGTGTGTCTTTTTGTTTTAGACTGGTATGCTGCTGTTACTTGGAATTGCTTTTATTTGTTTGATCTAGTCTGTGTTGCGGAATAGTCTGTAGTCTAGAGGCAGCACCTTTCTACCAACAGACTCCACTTGATGCTGTCTTTGTCGGTCTTTCTACTCTGGCTGGGCCTTGTGATCGTTGAAGTCGCTCTGTGCCTTTCTGGAGGTTCTTTCCCTTGGCCTACTTAACTTACACACATACGTGGATGTGTGCACGCACATTCTTACTCAGCAAAGACTGGGGACTCAGGAGGACTTCTCTGCAGCTCCCTTCGTTCTGATTCCCGGATTACTGATTGGGTTTGTTGCTGTAGTCTCTCCTACCACTGGGACATGGAGGCTCCGGACAGTAAGCTCAGGGACCTAAAGGTTCCCGTACTTGTCTCCTGATGGAGCTCACTGTTTTGTGTTGCCTCTCATCCATTATCTGAAAACTTTTGTTTAAGACAAGAGTGCACCACAGTCCCTCTTATTGTATTATTACTGAAGTGGAAGTTTTAGTATTTTTCTCCTTTCTACAATATTTGAGAAGAATGGAAGAAAATGTATACTTTGAAAGTTTGTCACATACCCCTTTCAAGATTGTTGAAAAGAAAAAAAATCTTAAAACTGGACATTTAGAGGCCTAGGATATAACTCAATGGCATAGCACTTAACCTGGCAGGCGTGAGGTCCTGAGTTTAATTCATAGTACCCCTCCTACATGAAGAAAATAAGTAGAAATAATTTTTTTAAAAAAAGATGGCATTGGTGCTCATGTTGAAAAAACTGGATATTTATGTGGCAGTGCTTTTGCATTTTTGTGTGTCTGAATAACTATGAAAGTGATGAATTGATGAAGCAAAATAGATACAGATGTAAAGGACTAATTGGCAGGTTTTTAGGGAGAATGTCCTAAGACATGGTGGGGGCGCATACCTGTAATCCCATCACTCAGGAGGTTGAGAAAGGAGGATTGCTGTGAATTTGAGCCCAGCCTGGGCTACATAAACAAGTTCAAGGACAGTCTACACTGTATGGCGAGACCCTTTGTCAAAATAAACAACCCCCAAAATAGAAAGCAGTTTGGCAGCTGGCCTAAAGGTACACCTGTATGTACCATATGACCCAAGAATTCTACTGCTTGGTATTTACTCAAAAGAAATAAAAGCAATGTTCATATGAAAACACATTAATACTTATAGTAGCTTTATTCATAATGGCTTCAAATTGGAAAAAACCAAATGTTGGTCGACATGGATAAATGGAGTTTTTTCAGTAATTAAAAGAAATATATTATAAATGTATCATGCATAATTTTCAAAAATAAGTTGAATAGGAGAAATTAGACACAAAAGAGAACAAACTGATTTATAGTGATAGAAATCGGAGGTGTGATTTCAAATGAGGGAATATGGATAAATATTGGATACAGACATTTCACAAAGAAACTGTGAAATATGAAGGGAATTTTGAAAATTAAGATTATTGGTAAAGTTTAGATATGCATAATGATCACATTCATCATAGAGAATTTGTACCTGTACATGGTATATCTTAATTTCTGTTTTTTTCCATTCCTCTCAACTGAAGGGAAGGTTTGTATGTCTGGATTGGTGTTTGTTGCACAGATACATACAGTTGTCAGAATTTATCATACTTTATTTATTTATTTTTATCATACTTTAAATATTTGTTTATAAATAAATTATACTTCAAAAGAGTTGACTGAAAGTACTCTAGTAAGTTTATAAATAAAATACTGAGATATGAAATGTTTATGAATTTATAGACACATAAAATATATATATAATACATACAACAAATACTAGGAATGTAGATTCTGATTCTTTTGCAAAATGCAGTGGTTCTTTTTTATGGGCTTTCCTTTATTAATGTATGAAATGAGAAGGTGCATGTGGCTCTGAAAAAGTATTGTGTAATTTAAATATTAATCTTTTAAAATTAGCTTCACCAAGTAAATTTTTCCCCAGCAATCTTCCTGCTAAATCTGTGGAAGAAGCTTTACGTCACCGACAAGAATATGATGAGATGGTGGCTGAGGCTAAAAAGCGAGGTAAAAATTTTTTTTTGTCTTTCATCTTTTTTATTTTCATTTTTCTTAGTACATGTTTCTAGTACATAATAATTACGTTTAGTTGGGAGTTGGTACATGCGTATAACATACCTTAATTTCTTTTTCATTCTTTATCCTTTTTCATTCTTTATCCCTTCCTCTTA